GAGCCGTTTTAGGGGGGCGTGGCAGAGTCTTAACTTTGATAAAGAATATCTCTTTGGTTTTGAGACTTTAGTCTTTGCAACTTCAGGGATCTTATCTATGCACAATCAGCTTGTAACACTCCAAAGAGAAAGGACAACTTGAAATCGCATCATATGACCCCTTTAAAAGCTGATAAGATAACACTGTCCGCCCATGGCTGATCAAAAACACTGACGTTCATTATGGAGCGTTTTTGGAGGTATATAATGCGCCGTTTACATAACCAGTAAAAAGAGTTTCTAGTTGTCATGAGAAATACCATCTACTGGTAATAGCTTTGTTATTAAGGATTTTATCAGATTCATGACAGGTGTAATTTACTACTCCCCACTAGGTGGCCCCAAGGTAGGCCTACTAGTTCAATTTGAGAACAGCAAACAAAAGAAAGGGAAAAAAGCAACATTTCACAGCTATGATCAAATAAATATTAATTCCACATTCACAAAGCACGATGACTTAACTTTAAACCTTATTGTAAAATATTCACATCTAATTTACTTTACTCATCACTTCGACGAATCTCCTCCAATAGAAAAGCCTTAAAAACATCCAATATAATAGAAAAATTCATAAATAAGTTGCAACTTTTATGATTGTAAAATGAACATATGATTGTATGACTGTATAATTTATTTATTTTATTTTTTAACTTTAATTTTTACAGTATCCCCCACATGTTCATGTTCTGATGTTTATTTGCATCTTTCTGATATTGTTCATAATAATAAAAAAAAAGATCAAATTAATATATGAAAAATAAACTGAAAATACTTTTAGGATGTTTTCTCTTCTATAAAATGATTTATTTATGTTTGTTTGTTTGTTTGCCTCTTGTTGTTTTTGTACACAGCCAGAACAGACTCAATAGTACATAACTAGGAAAGACAAGCACCAAATAAAACATAAATAAATATATAAAATATAAATATCAACATCTTGACAAAATATATTGCATCATTTAACAAAATTAATTTAAAAAGGCGGCATAGGTTTAACATTTTAAGTGTTTTGGAGTTCTAGTATGCAGTAGGCCCTATGTGTACTATGCACTTTTTAGTTGACATCTTCCTGCAGCTCTACAGCATCTAGTCATATTTGCATATAAAACATTGACCCTTTTTCTGACATAATTTTTGTTTAAAAAAAATATATATAGCAAGAACTAGATCAAATAAACTAGCATTTTGTTAGTTTTGCTTGCATTTGTAAGGTTTTGTGAAAGAGCAATTTCAACTCAAATGGTGTTAGATGAGTGTTTTTTCAATCCAGCTCCTGGGGGTCCCGTGGCGTTGCACATATTAGGAGTCTCACTAATCTTACACACAATTCAGGTCATGGAGCCTCTAAGAATGAGATGATGAGTTGAATTAGATGCGTTAGAGGAGGAAGACATCTCAATGTGCCGTGCCTCAGGGCCCCCAGAAGCAGGATTTGAGAATTACTGTGGTAGAGGAAAAAGGAAACACTGTCATGAGTCATAAGCCTTTTCAGGCATTTTTCTGTGAGCATATACAGGTTTTTAGATAAATCCAAAGACAAAGTGTGTGAGTGCAGACATATAAACAAGTAGGCTAGTAGTCAAACAGTCCATGTTTGCAGTGCATTCAGCAAAACAAACCTAAAATAAGCAAATAAGATTATAGAAATCAAGTCCTACCAGACTAACTGCTAATAGAATGAAAATTAGCCTGTGTTTTACTTACCCTCAACCCATCCTAGGTGTAGCCTATATGACTTTTTTCTTTCAGACGAATCCAATCGGAGTTAATATTGATATTATGGAGTTGATATTAAAAATTGTCCTGGCTCTTGTAAGCTCTTATCATTGTAGTGGGCGGGTGTTTCTCTTTAACAGTCCAAAACACGTTAAATAAAGCAGCGCATCCATAATAAAACGTGCCTCACATGGCTACAGGGGGTGAATGGAGGCCTCCTGTAGCGAATCCAGGTGTTTTTGTCAGAAAAATATCCATATTTCAAACATAATAAACACTTTTCTATGTCTTCCGCTATCTGTCATACGCGGAAGCCGTTCGCGATTGGATTTGTCAGAAAGAAGAAAGTTATATACACCTAGGATGCCTCAAGGATGAGTAAAACACAGTCTAATTTTCATTTTTGGGTGAACTAACCCTTTAAAGTTACTAAATGCCAGAGGTGTAAAGTATTGGAGTAAATGTAATTAGTTACTGTACTTGAGTATCTTTTCGGGTACTTTGTAGATGTACTGAGTCTCAAAGATATTAGCAACTTTTACTCTTTACTTGGCTACAGGGGGTGAATGGAGGCCTCCTGTAGCGAATCCAGGTGTTTTTGTCAGAAAAATATCCATATTTCAAACATAATAAACACTTTTCTATGTCTTCCGCTATCTGTCATACGCGGAAGCCGTTCGCAGTTGGATTTGTCAGAAAGAAGAAAGTTATATACACCTAGGATGCCTCAAGGATGAGTAAAATACAGTCTAATTTTCATTTTTGGGTGAACTAACCCTTTAAAGTTACTAAATGCCAGAGGTGTAAAGTATTGGAGTAAATGTAATTAGTTACTGTACTTGAGTATCTTTTCGGGTACTTTGTAGATGTACTGAGTCTCAAAGATATTAGCAACTTTTACTCTTTACTTCACTACATTTTTGAACTAGTATCTGTACTCTTTACTCCACTACATTTGAAATGAGTGTTGCAGTTACACATTACATTTTGCATGGACCTAGCTTTTTCTGCAGCAGTTTATTTCTGCTACAAAAGACGTGATATTGCCTATTACAGGTCACTGAAAGTACTGCATCTTCTGCGTTTTGCCCTTACTCACCCAAACTTGTCAACAAGGCTACTTTATGTGAATGCGAGTTCCTTAGCAAGTATTTGTGAATCACAGCTGTTTTATATATGAGATGAGGACATGACTGCAGCCAGCAATGAGGCCCAAACCAGCACATCCACTGCAAGAAGGCTTCGGCTTTTTAACTTTACTCAACATTATTTTATTTTGAGGTGCAATTTTGAGGTGTTCAGTTTTATTTTGGTTTTAGAAAATAAACGTGATTGCTCTCCTCACAAATCAACTCTTTCTTGTTTTTGTTTCGTGCTCTCTGTGCCTTGCCCTGGACTTTTATGTCACTTCCTGTCTCCCGTGGTGTTTGT